ATGATCATAAGAAGTAGAAACTAAAAGCACGGTCTGCCCACAGCCAAGTAGTCAGGTATATGAAATAATGGTCATTCCCTGAATATTTTCAGGATTATAATTTTGTTGTTTAGTGATCATCACATCTGCTTGCAGAATTTCACTTCTACTTACAATTACAATTACTAGCTACTTCTGCAATTGTTATTTAGCCTGGTTCAGGAGGTCCATGTCACAGAGAAGAAAGAAGAAGAAACCATATGCCTCGATGCATTTTAACTGATTTTAAGGTCAGCAGGCCTAAATTAAGAGTACTCCATTTGTTCTAAATTTTTAGTCATTTTGGATTTTGTAATTACATAGTTTTTGCTAGACACCTAGATATACACCATGTCTAGATGCATAATAAAAACTATGAATTTAGAAAAGCCAAAATGACTTACATTTTAAAGAGACAGAATAGTACTTCGACTTATACAATTAGCTCGTGCGTGCTCCAATAGAGTGGAACATGGCCTATTGGCCAAATCGAAGAGCCAAGACCCGATGAGAGGCGGCTGTCAGCTAGCGCTCGCTCGCTTTTGTCATATATATATGTGCATTTAGTTACTGGATCAATCTTAGAATTATCATGGTTGCACAGCGACTTATCTAGGAGAAGTTTTTGTTGGTGGGGCTATACATTTGCCCATTAACTAATGTTTGGACAGTAATGTAGTACACTGAATAGTTTTGTTTAGTGTGGCTGTTTTAAAAGACAGATGATCATTGATCATTATACTGAGATCAGTATGTGGATGACTGAATTCTTTCATTTTTTCCCATATCAGATGTGGTTGTCATCGTCTCTGTGGTCATATTGATTGGATTATTCAGCATGCAGCACTTTGGTACTGATAAAGTCAGTTGGCTTTTTGCTCCAATAGTATTTATTTGGTTCATACTCATTGGAATCCTAGGCGCCGTAAACATTTCCAAATACGATCAATCTGTTCTCAAGACTTTTAATCCTATTTATGTATATCAGTACTTTAAGCGAGGGAAGACTAGCTGGGATTCTTTAGGAGGAATTATTCTTAGCATTACAGGTTTGAACATCTTTCCTAATTTTATAATAATCTTGTCCTTTGTTTAATGGCAATTACCAGGACTGAAATATTGGGCCATGTTTCAGGGACAGAAGCATTGTTTGCTGATCTTTCATATTTCCCTGTACAAGCTATTCAGGTAGTTTATTGCCTGTCTTTGTTACTAGCTGTGAAAATGTTCTTATGATAACCAAGGAACCTTTTAGAGGCAAATGTACATTTTTACCTACTCTTCTCACATGAGTACAGAAGTAAATCCTTTTGCTTGCCTGCTGATGACATCACATTTTTGTGTGTAGATTGCTTTCACGGTGGTTGTGTTTCCATGCCTCTCTTGCAGTATACAGGCCAAGCTGCCTATATAGCTCAGAACAAAAACCATGTCTCCCATGCCTTCTATTATTCCCTTCCAGATAATGTCAGATAGAGGGAGTCTTCGTTTACCATATATACATGAATGCACATTGACACTATTATTTGGTACAGATTCTGTACTTTGGCCATCATTCATTGTTGCAACAGCTATGTGCTGTAATCAGAAGAGGTTTTGGTTACTATATTTTGTATGTTACAATTGTGATAGTTTACTATATTCTTATATGATAATTCAGGATGCAGGCCATTAGAATTGCAGCAAAAAATAGTTGATTGGTTACAACTATATATTTTTATTGATAGAGTGATTTTCATGACTTATCACTGTAATCCAAAAATGAAAGTGGTATGGTCAACTTAGCAACAGATTTTTTATTTCTGATTAGGTTTCTTCTATAAAGGTGTCAATGCTCTGTCCTTACCTGTAGGCAAGTGACCTGTTTCTTTGTTGGGATTAGCCATGAATTCAGTTCCTGCCATTTGATTGACCCGTGATACTGATTTTTGGCATGTCCATTGTTCCTAAATATGTTGTGTTATTACACACATTGTTTGGAGTCCGACCACATATATGCCAAATAGCATGTTTATCACCTAAATGTAGGTTCATGTGATGTCATTATATAGCATCGATTTAGTCACTCCAGCCATCTCCCTTGAATATTTTTTTGCCTCCAAATGGGGAGACTCAACTTGGTGGTGATTATAATATTTTGGTGGTTTAAATATCGTCGTGGCGTTAGCATGAGTTCATTTAGGATTGATTGAGGTACAAGCGTGCTTTTTTTTTCTTTTTTTTTTTGGCAATCACAATGTGCTAAACACAGTTTGTGCCTTGTTTTATATTAAGCTAGGACTTATCATCCTCTTTCATGAACCATAAGTTTTATTGCTATTATTTGGTGGTAATAGACTTGAGAATAAGTAGCTCAGCACTAGGCTTGATCTCAATCAGAAACTACGAGGTTTAGATTGGTAACATGGATTGCATATTTGGATGATATGAAGGGAATGTTTGGATCTCATCCTCATAGCAATATTTTAGACTCTAGATTGTGAATCTGGATTCTAGATAAAATTATGAGTGTTTGGATCTTATTCTCATAGTGATTATTGCCTTAGCATAGTGCAAATCGGCAAATAGTAGAGGTTTGTGGTAGAAGTTGTATTTTACAATCTAATTCTAGAGTCAGTTTAGATCGCATTCTCATTTTTCCACCATATTTTTATTTTTCTTAAGACATCCAAACAGACCCGAAGTTTTCTCGATAAAACAACGCAAAATGGAAACGTCTAGCAACATAGAGATATGAACTCTAAATATTTTAATTTTGGCTTGACCGGAGTCCTTGAATAATATCAAGCAACATACATCACGTGAAATTTTTCGTTGTTCCCATTGCAACGCACGAAAAGGTCTATACAGTAGAGTTGGTGAGCCTGCGATGCCGCGCTCTCCGTAACCGTATTAATTTTACGAACTTTGCTTTTTGAATTAAATGTCACTTTAACGGTCGTATTTAATTTTACAGTATTGTTATCTTATCATGCGATCCGTGTGTTTTTAGTATAAAAGTTTAGTTGTCCCGTAGCAACGCACGAGCACGCTACCTGGTTTAAATAAAAAGTAAAGACGCACGCTTTTCACAACGGTACGTAGGCGACATGGATCCGCGCCGCGTGGGACTTGAGCGCGTAAACATGTTGGCCCCGTTCGCATGCCCTTAAACCCGGCTTGATCCGCTTATTTTTTTCATTCGGAACAGTGTTTTTCTCTCACAAATTCCTCCAGCATTCATTCAAATCATCCAGATTCCTCCAAAATTAAGACAAGCGAACAGGCCCGTTGTTGCCGCGCTGATGCCCACGTCACCACGTCACGGTCACAACGTGAATGAACGACAATAGAAATACCGTATTTAAAAGGGTTCACCGCGGTATTAGCCTGTGGTGTATCTTAACGTCAAGCGCAGGCGCCGCATGGTGCACATGTATATTCTAGTTACTCGTGGTAGAAAAAAACCTGGCCACCTGGGCCGCGATGGGAACTAGTATTTCTATGCGTGGCTGCTCGCCCCGTCGCCGTCGATCCAGTCATTTGCGGCATATCAGCCACTGGGATAGGACCGTAGAAAGAGTGCCGTCCCGTCACGATTACAGCGACCGACCACTAAAACCAATCGGGTCAGCGTCAAAATTCTCGATGTCACGGTCTGTTTGCGGGCGTTGTTTTAAGTTGTAACCTTCGTTTCAGTCACTCGGCATCGGCAAACCATCAGCAGATCAGAGCCTACCGCTGGCTGCGATCGTTGGGCCTTGTTGCAATTGTATCTACCTCAATCTACGTGTATTGCGGTAAACTAAGAGCACGTAGAACATAGTTTAATTTTTATCTTGATTCACTTTACACACGTACATTGATGTGGAATGAGCGTATGCTTAGTTGTTTCCAGATCCATCCCAATCACGAAATCTGAAGCTCTAGCCTCCAACCGGTACTCTCTAGCCCCTACATCACTCTGGTTCGAAAAAATTCTGACATCCACTTGATCGCTTGCTAGCTGATTTGGAGCAATGGAAGATCATAGCACCTGTCTCATCGCAACGTTGTTGCCGGTTAGCACATTCTGTCCGGACTCCGTTCAATCTCTGCGTCCGGCAGCGGCCATATGACACATGACAGTGGCATTTTGCATGGTGTGGGTAGCAAACTTCCACCATCCGTTAGGCCTGTCTATTTCTGAAATCACCAACAGCGCTCATTCTTTTGAAGAGCCTAGGGAATCGTTCTAGTTTACACATTAATCTTGATAACAATACATTCAAATAAATTTGATGCCAATCTGTTACTGCTCACGGTCCGACAACTACAACACAAGTGACTGCAGCAGACCAAGCAGGCCGCCCCGTCAGGACCCGAAGGCCCAAAACGTTGGTGACCGGCCCAATGTGGCAATCTTAGCTTGCTAGTATTGAAGATAACTAGATAAGAGAGTTATTAGGAGCGTGAGAACTATGAACATTGTAACAGAATTGATTCCTAAGTAATCCTGTCCTCGCCATTACTTGCGTCTCTGTTCTTTTTTCTTCCTCCCCACTTCATCTCTCGGCTAACACAATCTAATTCACAAATTAATCTTGATAACAATTATATAAAAAAAATGATGCCAAGCTGACGTGATGGTGCAGCAACAAATTAAAGTTGTGCAATCGTGACATCGTGATATATATAACTAGTGCGGGGGCTAAATTGCATATTAGATAGAATTTATGAAGCTACATTAATTATTAATAACTACAATAAAAATTAAACGATGTTAAAAAAAAGCACGTTGTTACCTCATCTCCACATACGTATGCCTTGCCAAGTTGGCATGCATGCCACCCCACGCGTGAGTAGTTGATCGTCGCAGATATTTTCGGCCCAAATATAGGAGTCAGGTTCGTTCCTCTCGTCAATCTTTGTGTTCTTCTATCTAGATAGATTTCAAAAGAAAAAGGACGATTATCTCTCCGATGGAACCTGATCTTGCAGTTAGCAAGGTGTGCGAGCCGTCGATGGCGTTGGAGGAGAGCCCTCTCGATGAGCCCCTTCTCATCCCCGACAATGACGCGGAGCAGCGCAGCAGCGGCGGCGGCGCCGATGACATCGCCAACATGGAGGTGCATCTCCTCCTCCATCACGACATGGGCGCCTCCTTCTGGCGGAGCTGCCTCAACCTCAGCAACGTCATCTCAGGTACGATACGATTACGACCGTGCGTCCATCGATCTTGTTGATTCGCGTACATACATGACGACCGAATACCAATCACAGCAAGATTCATCCAAACGCAACGTGATTCCTTGTATAGGCGTCGGGGTGCTATCCGTGCCGTACGCGCTGGCGCAGGGCGGGTGGCTCAGCTTGGCGCTCTTCGCCGTCGTCGGCGCCGTCTGCTACTACACCGGCGAGCTCATCGCCCGCTGCATGCGCGCCGGCGGCGATGGCGACCCCGACGCCGTCAGGAGCTACCCGGACATCGGCCAGCTCGCGTTCGGGCGGCCCGGCCGGAAGGCCATCGGCGCCGTCATGTACGCGGAGCTCTACCTCGTCGCCGTCAGCTTCCTCATCCTCGAGGGCGACAACCTCGACAAGCTGCTCCCCGGCACGGCCGTCGGCCTACCCGGCGGCTACGTCCTGCGGGGGAAGCAGCTGTTCACGCTCTTGGCGGCCGTGGTCATACTCCCGACAACGTGGCTCAGGGACCTCTGCGTGCTCGCCTACGTGTCGGCGGTCGGGCTCGTCGCGTCCGTGGCCCTCACGGCGTCCCTGGTCTGGGCCGGCGTGGCCGAGCACGGCTTCCATGCCGCCAAGGATGCCAATGTTTTCAGCCTCGCCGGGCTGCCCACTTCCCTCAGCTTGTATTTCGTCTGCTTCGCCGGCCACGGCGTCTTCCCGACGGTGTACACCTCCATGAGGAATAACAATGACTTCACCAAGGTCCTCCTGGCCTCCTCAGTGCTCTGCAGCCTCAACTACGCGCTGACGGCGGTTCTAGGGTACATGATCTACGGGGACGACGTGAAGTCGCTGGTGACGCTGAACCTCCCGTCGGGGAAGGTGTACACGAGGATCGCCATCCTGACGACCCTGATCACCCCGCTGGCCAAGTACGCGCTGATCATCCAGCCCATCACGACGGGGATAGAGGAGAAGCTGTCGTCGTCGCGGGGGAGCCTCACCAGGGCGGCCATCAGCACCACCGTCCTTGTCAGCACGGTGGTGGCGGCGTGCACGGTGCCCTTCTTCGGCTACCTCATGTCCTTCATCGGCTCCTCTCTCAACGTCACCGTCGCCGTCCTGTTCCCGTGCCTGAGCTACCTCATGATCGGAGAGGTTCGCCGTGCCGAGGCCGCGGGGATCGTCGCCATACTGGTGGTTGGAGTGTGTGTCGCCGTCCTAGGAACTTACACCTCCCTGCACCAGATTGTGAGCACATTTTGATAGCACATTTTTTAGCAGGCAGTGCACAATGATTCTTTGATTTGTTCGTTGGATTGAGAAACTGAGAGATTTGTAACGCAATTTGGAGGATAACATGTTAATATGCAGCTATTTGTCTTGCTTTCTGTGATGCACTTAAATGACGGCTTAAGAGCCAGTTACTAGTTGGGGCACGGCACAAATTAGTCTACATTAGCTGGAGTTGGCTAACAAGTACTTGAAGGCTTACCTAGTTGACATATGAGCCTGCATCCGGCACGATGCTAACACTGGACCTACCAATCACCGATGCTCAGAAGTTCAGAACTTCAGATATAGGTGGCCGCCTGCAGTGTTATTACCAACAGTTTGGTGTCCATGCAGGCCGCAACAACATCAGATAAAAGGCCCTATTATTACTCGCTCGCCAGATAAAAACTAGTGACAGAAATATCGCCACGGAGGTTGGTCGCAATCCAGATCGGACGGGTAAGCGTAAGGTTTCATAACATGATGCCAAGACCTGCCGTTATCTCATTACTCGTTAGTGATAAGTATATTATACTGTATATATGTGTAGGTGCTATCAATCAGTCGAAATGTTCATAACATGACCGAGACCTTCTGCCATTATCTCATTAGTGATAAGGATTACTATACGATAATGCTGCCGCTAGGGCATCCATTTCGTCCGGACGCGCGTTGGTGGGTCTCGATACCCGAACGGCTCAACAGGCAACACTGCCATCTGCATGAAAATAAAAACAAAAAATCGCTGCTCTCACCTTTTTCTCGAGTCGCCATTGTTTCCCATCTATTTTCGAACCAACTCTCTGCGCCCCGCATCACCGCGGCTTGCTCCACCGCGACCGGGCTGCCGCGCCCGCACCACCGTGGCCACAGTGCATATATTGGCGTGCTGCACCGCACCCGAGTGCCGCCACCTGCTTTCCTATCTCCCCACCACCACTCACCACTTGCCGCCGAGTTCTTCGAGCCGACGCGGCGTGGTCCACGGCGACTGCTTCGGCGACCGCACCCGAGCGCCGCCACCTGCTTTCCTGTATCCCCACCACCACTCACCATTCGCCGCCGAGTTCTTCGAGCCGACGCGGCGTGGTCCACGACGACTGCTCCGGCCCGGCGTTCTTCACCATGCCCAACCACTTGCCTACCGCCATCCTCCCTCGCCACTGCACCCGAGCACCGCTTGCTGGCTACCTAGTTCCCCACCCGGTAAGCCATGGCTGCCCGACAGCGCCATGTTTTGTTTCTGGGGTGTTTCAGAAGTTGTTTCCAAGTGTTTCATCTGTATGTTGCGTATGTTAAAATGGCTATATACATATGTTTTAAGTATATGTTTCAGTTGTTTCATATGTATGTTTCACGCGTTTCATCTGTATGTTTCATGTGTTTCATATGTATATGTTTCATGTTTCATCTTGATGTTGCATATGTTGCAATAGCTACACACGTATGTTTCAAGTGTATGTTCCACATGTTTCATCTGTTTAAGACGTATGTTGCAAATGTTTCAGCTATTTCAGACGTATGCTTCATGCGTTTCATCTAGATGTTGCAATGACTATACAAGTATGTTTAAATAGTATACGGAGTATGTTGCAACGGTCGGACGTATGTTCCAAAGGAGATGAGACGAGGGGGAAGGGGCGTGGTCGAGACAAAGCGCAGCGGAGGACAGGGGCGCGGCGAGGATGGCGCCACGGCAAGGGGAGGAGTGCGCGCGGCGGGCTTGACGCCAGAGGCGCAACCGGGATGGGGATTGAGTCACGGATGGTCGGACACGGTTACTGGCGCGAGATCCGGTCACGGGCAGCCGGATCGCGATTCGCTAGCGCTTGGATCTGATGCAAGCGCGGGGGGCGTCCGATGCAAAGCGGTTGTAGGCGTCAGAGCATACGGCTGCTGCCACTTAGATCAAAGTAGTGCCATATATGAAATTTGAACTCAAATAGAGAAGTAGAAAAAAAATTAAATTGAAACAGATCGGTTGGTACTACCATGCAGATTCATATGCTCCAAGAATTTTCAAGAACATCAACTAAAATATGAAACAGAAACACATCAAGAGTCCAGAACTCCAGATATGCAAAAACCATCTAACAGAGGTCTCATAAAAGAATGCATGTCCCACTCGAATCTCCATTGCTACTTCCACCGGGAAAAAGAAGTTACATCGCAGGAACCTGTACATTGTTCAAATCTTCTTTCTCATGGCAAAGAGCACACACAACTCAAACCAATTTCCTCCACTTGCCACAAGAAACAAGATTCAGTTCAAATTTTAACTAATCCTTCATGGCCTGTTTGATGGGGCCATAGGGGGTATCTAAATCCAAATCCATATGATTCAGTTCAAATTTTCAACCAATCCTCATGAATCCCTTTATCAATCAAATGTATTGTTTCCCACACATCTCATCAAGAATGCAAAAATGCCATGTCCCATTGTCCACGACCCAACAGATTATGTCTTAGGGTGGATTGTTTGCAACTTCATAATGATGTGTCTACCAACCCTCCTGTGACTGACTGACCGAGCAACCAGATACATTGGCCAGGTGGTATAGATAGACTGGGGTGACAAAACTATAGGGATTGAGTAATAGAACAAAAGGGGGAGAAAGATTTCTTTCTTTCCTGTCCTGAACAAACAAACATGGCCCTTCTCAACTTAAGGACCCTTTAACGAATCACAGTCATTTTGCCTGGAGCGCCATCTTCCTGCACAGCCAAATCAACATGATACATGCTACAATAATCATGCCAACTTTTTGATCCAATAGCAAGCCTGGGGCAGTCCCAGAGAGCGCATTTTGGCTTCAGGAATGCAGAAGTGCTGAAGTCACTGTTGTGAGCAAATCTGTCATGTGCAGGAAAATACCCCCAGCACTCTGTCCACAGATACTCATGCCAAGGTATGCTTTAGGGGCTAACCCTTGTGGCAAATTGAACTGTGGATATTCCAGCTGAACAATCCCTTCTAGGTTATTAAGGACATCCAGGTTAGACCCAGAAAGGTTCATCTTGTAATCATCATCATAAAGAAAATCCTCAACCATAAGTTCCTGGTTCACATAGTACAACTGCAAGAAGATGAGAAGAAGTTAAAATTAGCACAACTCCACAGAACTTCAATTTTTTTCGAAATTGGCAGAAAGGCAAAGTCACTGAACATGCCAATTACATGCATGCTAGAATTAGTTATAAAGCAGTACACAACATCTAAAATGTTGCAATATCTACTCGAACCCGGGACCTTCCGGTCACAGGCGGTAAGACTCTACCGCTTGCACCAGACCCGTCCTTCCCCAGACCCCGCACAGAGCGGGAGCTCTCTGCACTGGGTACGTCCTTTTTACTCAAATGCTAAGGAAGTACATAAGAGAGCCAAACAACAGGAAGCGGAAAATCAAAATGGGTGCCATCCTAACCTATCGAGACAGAGCAAAACATCCGTGTACACCACTGGAAAGCAGAAGGTGGTTGTTTTCTTCTAAAAAGACAATAGAAATACATTGACCCCCACCATTTCCAAATTCCATTGCATGCTGCATCACCGCCTGAGCAGGGGGTGTTGATTGACTTGTCCGGCGCGGGGTGGCGGCCACGAAGAAACAGGCCAAGACCTCCCACGGCCGTGTCAGCCGCGCACGCAAGCAACGAAAGGGGCGACTGGCCACCGAGCCAGGAAATGACACGGAGAGCCCTTTGGTTATAGCATGGACTGCCTTTGCCGCCATGTGGTCTGCAACAAATTAGTCCAGGATCAAGCATAAAGAGAGCACTGTGACAAATTTATGTTGCTTCAGAATAATTTATGTTACTGTAATTCTGAATTATGAAGGGCGGGTCTGGTGCAAGCGGTAGAGTCTTACCGCCTTTGACCAGAAGGTCCCGGGTTCGAGTCGCGGTCTCCTCGCTTGCACAGGCGAGGATAAGGCGTGCCACTAACACCCTTCCCCAGACCCCGCACAGAGCGGGAGCTCTCTGCACTGGGTACGCCCACTGTAATTCTGAATTAAAATTCTAACCACATCATTTAGTCAGTGTGAGGTCCAATTTCAACACAACCATCAGGATGCAATGCACAAAATGAAAAAAAAATACTGCTCCTTTCAGTAAATCTACACAACTATGTTTCTAGGAAACACACTGAAAATTTTCCAGCAATCATTGAGGTGTGCTTACTTTGACTAATGTATGTTTGTCGACTCAACAAACATGCTAACTGAACAGCTCTCTTACTGTAAAGAGCTATGGAGATTCAGAGGGGTATTTTAGAATGAAAGCTACTGTCATGTTTCAAATATAATTTACACATTTTTAAAATCATAAAATCCATATTCATGTCAGACAACAAGACTCGGTTCCGAAACAAATGGCAAGACAAGCAATTAACAAACTATACCATTTAAAAATCAACAGGAAATGCTCTGACTGGAGAACACGGTTCAAAAAGGCGATGCTAGGCGGCCGCCTAGGCGCGACTAATCACTAGGCAAGGGGGTTCCGCCTGGCCTATGGGGGTAGGCGAACCCCTAGGCAGGCTGAGGTCGCTGGTGGGGGAGGAGCAGCCTCGGGCGGAGTCGGACGCCGGGCGCGGGCAGCAGCGGGCGCGGACAGAGATGCGGGAGAGGGAGAGGAACCTGCAGCGGCAGGCTCGGACTGAGAGAGAGCTGCGGGAGAGGGAGAGGAACGGGCAGCTGCAGGCGCAGACAGGGATGCGGACATGCGGGCGAGAGAGAGAGATGCGGGAGAGGGAGAGGAACTGGCTGCGGCGGCGGCAGGCGAGAGAGAGATGCGAGCGACAGAGGCGGGCGAGAGAGAGATGCGAGCGAGAGCGACAGAGAGATGCGGGAGAGGCTGGAACGTGGGATAGTTAGGCCGTTAAATGGGCCTTCATCTCTTTCTCCAGACCATTGGACTCCTATTTTTTCTTTTCTTTTAAGTATTTATGCATGTATTAGCCATCACCTAGAAAAACGCCTTGAAACGCC